TTTTTTTGCTTCTGTTTTGATCGAGGTGGAAGAGGAACAGAGGCAGCGAACTGAGTGAAGTGCAGGGAGAAAAGGGAGCATCGGAGAAGGGAGAACAAAAAAGGTTAACGGTGTTAATAATCTTCTGGTTGCATGTGATGAGTTGGTTATGATTTGGCAAGAGGTGATTACCTGTCATTTTGTTATTGGACCCGGATACCACATCAGCTGGTATACCAGGGATATAGTAGACTTCCTCCAATTTAAGAGGGGTGGGGAGTCCAAGCCAGCACAGCTGTTAAATTGTGTCTCCGGGCTTGGTGATGATGAAAATATCTCGAAAGGAGAACAAGTAGTATTACCAAGATTTTGAGAAGTTGTTTTCAGGCAAGGACCATAATTGGGTTCATTTCTACCATCAATCAGCCTTCATGACACTCTTCTATCAGCATTCAAGATGGAACCAACTACCATAATTACTTGCACAACAGGACACATTAAAGGTCCCTCCCTCCAGATATTTGTAGCCTCATACTACACCTCCATTGAACCTACACATTTTGTTCTTCAACCTTTCTCTGAACCAACCTTCTAAAAGACTTTCTTCATCGGCCTGATAATGGCTGAAAACCCAGAAAAATGGCTGATTCTCATTTTAACAACCTATTTAGCCTTCACTGTTGTCCTCTCAACAAAAGACCCACTGCCAAAGAAGACTTATATTGTGCAAATGGATAAGTCTGCGATGCCTGCATCATTCTCCGATCACCTTGAATGGTACACATCAAAACTACAGTCAGTAGTCTCAACAACTCAGATAGAAGGAAACGCAAATAATGAAGATAGGGTAATTTACAGTTACCATAATGCTTTTCATGGCCTTGCTGCTCAGCTGACTGAAGAAGAAGCAGAGAAGCTTGAAGAAGAAGATGGTGTAATTGCTATATTACCAGAGACGAAGTACCAACTGCACACCACGAGGAGTCCTTTGTTCCTTGGGCTAGAACCAGAACAAAGCACCAGGATCTGGTCTGATAAAGTAGTGGACCACGATGTCATAGTTGGAGTGCTTGATACTGGTATTTGGCCAGAGAGTGCAAGTTTTAACGATACAGGCATGACACCGGTGCCTGCTCACTGGAAAGGAACTTGTGAAACTGGCCGAGGCTTTGAAAAGCATCACTGCAATAGAAAAATTGTGGGGGCCAGAGTATTCTACCGGGGATATGAAGCTGCTACGGGAAAAATCAATGCTCGAAATGAGTATAAATCAGCAAGAGATCAAGACGGGCATGGGACTCACACAACAGCTACTGTTGCTGGCTCGCCAGTGCAAGGTGCAAATCTCTTGGGTTATGCCTATGGAACTGCAAGAGGAATGGCACCTGGTGCAAGAATTGCAGTTTACAAGGTTTGCTGGACTGGTGGATGCTTCAGCTCAGATATACTGTCAGCAGTTGACAGAGCAGTTGCTGATGGAGTGAATGTTTTGTCAATATCTTTGGGTGGTGGGGTGTCATCTTACCATCGAGACAGCTTGTCAATAGCAAGTTTTGGAGCAATGGAGATGGGTGTTTTTGTCTCCACCTCAGCTGGAAATGGAGGACCAGACCCTGTCAGTGTAACAAATGTATCACCATGGATAGCCACAGTTGGAGCTAGCACCATGGATAGAGAATTTCCTGCCACTGTAAAGCTGGGGACTGGCAAGGCTATAACTGGAGTCTCACTCTATAAAGGCCGAAGAGTTTTGTCAGCAAATAAGCTTTATCCTCTGGTTTATATGGGTGGCAACTCAAGCAACCCTGATCCCAGCTCATTGTGTTTAGAGGGAACTTTGGATCCACATATTGTTGCTGGAAAGATAGTGATCTGTGACCGGGGCATCAGTCCTCGAGTGCAAAAGGGTCAGGTGGTGAAAGATGCAGGAGGAATAGGAATGGTTTTGGCAAATACAGCAGCCAATGGAGAGGAGCTGGTTGCAGACTGCCACCTCCTCCCAGCAGTTACCGTGGGAGAGATAGAAGGAAAAGTGATCAAGCATTATGCTTTAACAAGTGCAAATGCGACTGCATCTCTGGGATTTTTGGGAACCAAACTAGGAATTCGGCCATCTCCAGTGCTGGCAGCATTTTCATCCAGAGGACCAAATTTACTCTCACTTGAAATCCTCAAACCTGATATGGTTGCACCTGGGGTGAACATTCTCGCTGCCTGGACTGGTGAAATTGGTCCATCAAGTTTGACAACAGATAACCGGAGAGTGAAATTCAATATATTGTCTGGAACTTCCATGTCCTGCCCTCATGTGAGTGGAATTGCTGCCTTGCTTAAGGCCAGACATCCAGACTGGAGTCCTGCAGCAATAAAGTCTGCCCTGATGACAACAGCTTATGTTCATGATAACACCCATAATCCACTCAAAGATGCTGCAGCAGCGGCACCTTCAACCCCATATGATCATGGAGCTGGGCACATAAGCCCATTGAAGGCTTTAGACCCAGGTTTGATTTACGACATTGATGCGCAGAATTACTATGATTTCCTCTGCACACAGGAGTTGACTCCAACACAGCTCAAAGTTTTTGGCAAATATTCCAACCGATCATGCCAAAACACTGTTGCCAGTCCAGGGGACCTGAACTACCCGGCAATCTCAGTGGTGTTCCCAGATAACACATCCGTTTCAATTTTGACCATCCACAGAACTGTCACAAATGTTGGCTCTCCCGTTTCAAATTACCATGTTTCAGTTTCACCATTCAAAGGTGCTACCACAAAAGTTGAGCCAGAAACCCTGAATTTCACCAGCCAAAATCAGAAACTGTCTTACAAGATTACATTCACAACAAAATCTCGCCAAACAATGCCTGAGTTTGGAGGTCTAGTGTGGAAGAATGGAGTACACAAAGTAAGAAGCCCAATTGTTATCACATGGCTAACAGCATCATAGAGTGTAGGGCTTTATTTTCACCAAGAAATATGGAGATCTATGGTTTCATTCACAATAAACTATATTTTTGTAAATGGGCCAGGAAGCTCTCTAATTTTATTATTTAGAAATTAAAAATGCATTCTTCTAACAATCTATTAGTGTTCTCGCATGTACAGCTTAAAATAACATTTCCAGGCATATAAAATTACGTGTGAAAGTGCAATATACAGGTTTCAAACCTAGAGGGTAACAGTGACACTGAGTTAATTGTATTTCCACAGTATATTTTCCTGTAATGTAATTTTCAGCAATTCCAGAACTCATAGACATGGCCAAGGCTGCAAGAGCAAGCTAAGCTAGATCCATCAAAACATCCCTTTAGATTTCACACACCAAAATTCAACTGCCTAACACATCCAGTCTAAGCATATTACTAATTCTAAGGCCTCAATATTTTCATAGCCTAGATTACATGTAATGGGTAAGAATTCGAACAGTCGAAACATACTTCAAGAGCCAACTGAACTGATGCTATTGTCAAAATGCAAAATGCATCCTTGTTCTTTTGCACTTTCATGCAGATCAAATACACTTTTCATTATGTGGTTAAGCTTTAAGCATTTTCTCTTCCGCATGTCTATTGTGTTAATTTTCCAAGCCAACACTCCCAACTGCTTTATCCACTAAAATTTACCCTCTAAACAGTATGGTACATAGGCCTTCAATATTTCCTTTAAATGGAAGATGTTCACAGATATAGAATTATATATAGATATATGAATTGGAAATTAAAATGGAAAATAGATAGTTCAGGAAGTATATACATAATTGGCGAAGAAAAATATGAGCATCTTACTTTTTGCTTTTCCTGATAAACAAGGGAACAACAGGAAGATCATTTATTTTGCATTTGAAGTCAGTCTCCATACTAATCCTTCTCTAGTATCTCTCTGTTTCGTCCACATATTCAGATCCCTGTGTCACATGGAATCAAAGTTCAATGTAAAGCATTAGGAGCACGAAAATTCTTCAAAATACCTATTCAAGCAACTGGCATAAAAAGTGACATCGACCAAGATACAGAAACCACTAAAAGAGTAAGGTTTTCATTAAGGTGCCTTTCCCACTTTCCAGAGGTTTGGCTTCACATATCAATTGACATATTTTTGACATGTTTCCGAACCTAAAGCATTAGGGAGATGGAAATTCTTCAAAATACCTATCCAATCAACTGGCATAAGAAAAAATATATTGACCAAGATACAGCAACCACTGAAAGAGTAGTAAGGTTTTCATTAAGGTGCCTTTCAGAGTTTCCAGAGGTTTGGCTTCACATATTAATTAATATGTTTTCTACATGTCTCCTATTTTAAAGAATTAGAGTATGAAAGTTCTTCAAAAAACCTATCCAAACAAGTGGCATAAAAGAAAAACATCGACCAAGATACAGCACCCACAAAAGACTAAGGTTTCCATTAAGGTGCCTTTCCCACTTTCCAGAGGTTTGGCTTCACATATCAATTAATATGTTTTCTACATGTTTCAGAGCTTAAAGCATTAGGGGTGTGAAAAATGGTTTTCATTAAGGAGCCTTTCTCACTTTCCAAAGGTTTGGCTTCACAGATTAATTAATATGTTTTCTACATGTCTCCTATCTTAAAGCAAAATTCATTTAAAAAAAAAAATGACTTAAGATAATCTATTGGTGTTTTGCCTAGACCATCAACTGACATAACAAAGGAAGGTCTGTACATGCAGATCTCACAAAAACAATATTGAAATCAGTCTTTTGGAGTTTGTTTGATGTAACACTAGCCATTTTTATGTATGGTTTTAATTAAGTAAAGCATTCAAATCATGGAATTAAAATGAACACATTTTAATCAAATCAAACACAAGGGCTATAAAATTACAAATGAATTCCAAACTTTTTTTGGGGAATTTATTCAAACCAAACACACTCTAAGGTGCTTTTCAAACTTTTCGCAGCTGGGGCTTCACATATTCATTAATATATTTTTTTACATATTTTCCAAATTAAAGGAAAACTCATTTAAAAAAAAAGACAAGGAATGGCAGGGAGAGTTGTTGCTGACATTAACTGACATAACAAAGAAATATCTGAGAATGTGCATTTCACAAAACAACCTTGATCAGTCTTTTGGTGTTTGGTTTTAAGTAGCACATGTCATTTTTGCGTAAAGTCTCACAGCCATGAGGCAAGCTAATATTAGAGTTCAAAATTTTTTCCAATATGCCCATAAACCCAAAATCTGTTAGTGCAATGATGGTAAGGCACAAAAAACCAAGATAGGGCAGTAGGTAGAAGTATATACAACATAAATAAGAAAAAGGAAAGACATAAACAATCAGATAAGGAAAGAACAGGTCTGCAATTGACTCAGAGAGAGGTAAAAATATTAAGGGAGCCATAGCATAGGAACCACTAGTTCACTACATTTTTCTCTTCTAACAGCCAGTCAAACTGAATCAATTGCATGTGGATTTAAATAGGGCATGGAAGCCTGGAAATTTAGCTTAACCTTTCAGAGAAAGGGCTCCCAATGTGGTAGACATGTTCACCATCTACAAAGTGATGATCGATCTTAAAAGCATAACAAGTTTGCAGTAAATAAGCTCCTCAAACCAAGAGATTCAATCCATATCATACGGATTATGAAGAATTATTAGGCAAGAAGTTAAAGGACTAATTATTGTCAATTTAAACCCTTTTAATCTATTTCTGAAAGAAACATATGCAAGATAAGGTGTGCACCAGTGCACGGCATTTCATTCTCAGCTTCAATCCACAAAACAGTCTTCAGAAAAGCCTTTCCCATGGGAGAATTTGCACAATTTAACTTCAAAATCATTTTTAATAGTTAAGCAACGAGAGTCTTCCATTCTTACATATTTTGTCTTCCTTCGTTTTCCCTCTCTTTGCTCATAGTCTTGTTAAACCCTTGCAGTGCCAAGATTATGGTCCAAGATTGTGCAACGGATAATCGCACTAGCTTCATCATGTTGAAAAGTGTTGAGGAGACATACAACTTAACGGGGCAACATTGAGTGACCCATTACATTACCAAAAGACTCCTATATTTCTTCGATGTGGGATGTTAACTCTTTCACACTCCCCCTTTCACTTGTGATTTGTGAAAGTCCCTTTTTTTGACATCATGGGATCACTGGCTGTGCTACAGCCATTGGCTTGATACCATTTGTTGAGGAGATATATGACTTAATGAAACAACACTGAGTAGTCTATTACATGTGTTGACATCAAATTGGGACGAAAAGACTAATCTAGTAGTTCTATGGGTCTTCACATAAGCCACTCTTTCCTTCTATATTTCTTTGATATGGGATGTTAACTCTTCCCACTTACAAGGGAAACATACTACTTCAACAAACAGAACAAAGTTTAAGATTCTAAGTGCATATATATGATATATCTGTTGTGAATTCATAAACCAAGTGGCATCAATCCTGATATTAACCATATTTAAAGCAACTCTTTTATCCCTCCGCACAAGAAAATATTTAAGACCTGCTTCAACACCAAACCAATATGCCATCAAAGCCAAGCTCCGAGGACATCTTTAGAAATACTGATCTAGATTCTGCTAACCAATTACAGCTACTTCTTGTACCTATTCGTGGAAGAGATTGTGAAACAGGCCAAAGAGAATGGGCTCATGCCTAGATTCAACTAAGTATACCTACTTACCTATTCACATAAGAGATTGTGAAAAGAAGATTTAGAAAAATTGACTGAAAAAGGGATTCATGTATGTTTGTCAGTGCCTTACTAAGCATTTGCAATTGTCTTTTCACTCAAGATTGCATGATTATGATTAAAAACCTCACATATTAGCTATTAGCTTAACTAAACTAACTAATTAAATAGATTCTCTTCTTTCTTATCTATTCTTACTTGAGTTGCTATTGTCATTAATCATTTGAAATTTTGAACATACACTAATGCGATTTTGAGCTATGTTTAACTCACTCCAGATCATTATCACCACTAACTAGAGGTGTAACAGATGGCATAAATCATCCACCCTTTCTGCCTCCTTCATCCACTCAGTTATGCAAGTTTTGGCAACAGTGCATCCCTTTTATCATAAGATATAGCAAGAATCAATGCATGATTTACTCTTAATCCCTTCTTCTTTTTTTTTTTTTTTTTTTGATTGGCATATTTACTATTCAGCTTGTGATTAAAGCTTTAACCAAATTAGCATGATTCACACAAATATTCCATTCTTTCTTTTTTCTTGACTCCATTTTCTTAGTAACCAAACATGCACCACATTAAAAAAATAAAAATAAATATCTTACAGTCCCATATCATGGAGGAAAAAAATATTTCAATATTTCTCAAACTAAAAATCTAAATATTATATGCAAATTTAAACACTCATGGTAATTGAAAGAAAAGAGCATAATATAGGATACCTAAACATTCTTTTCATTCAGCTCATGATCAAACACAAACAATTGAAATCTAATAAACACGATTATACTAACCAATTCAGGAAAATTAAAAAATAAAAATAAAACGAAAGGCATAAAAAGCAATATATTGAGGAAGAAAGGGAAGGGTGTATTTATAACCACCCAATATTGGTCACCTAAAGTTATATTTTATTTATTGAAAAAATATTTTATAATTTAGACTGATGTAAATTATAAATCACTAACCATTTAATTCCTTAATATTGGGTTCTCTCCCATTAAATATTTTTGTTTTCCGGTTCAAATTAATTTAGATAGTAAAAATAAGATTCTTTTTATTTATTTATTTGTAGTTTTTGTTTAAAGCATTTGTTATGATGTATAAAAAATATTAGTTTATAAATGAGTAATTTTAATTATATAAAGTAACGGCCAAACTTTATTTATAGTTTATAATTATTTTATTAGTATCAACTATATTTAACGGCCAAACTAAATATTGTGCGGCCATTAACGTCACCCGGGAGGAAAATGTGTAAAAGAATGATGGAATGCGGTTTGGGTAATCTGAGGATGGATTTCTGGCTTGCGAGCTATGAAGGCCAACCGTATGGTAAATTTTGAATTTAGTCGTCGACTCTCCGTGGCGCCGCTCCAGGAAAAGCTCTGGAACTGTCGATATGTAGCTGACGATGAGGACGTGGCACTAGGCGCGCAGGCTTGGACCGTTTTGGGCCTAGAACTCGGAGTGGAATTTGGGTCATATGTGAGAATTTCCTTTGTTTATATTTTTTTTCCATTTTTTATTATTATTATTTTTGGGGTGCGTTATTTTCTTTTTTTTTTTAATGTCATCTCTCGCATTGGGCGGGTAGCTAATATTTTTTTTAGTAAAATAAATTTAATTATCAAAAATAAAAAATAAAGGATTACAATTTAATTTATACATTGTAACTCATCATAGCACCATAAAATTTAACCATTACAATATGCTTGATATGAGAAAAACGGAAGGAGAGGGGAGGAGAGAAGTGTATAAAATGATGTAAAAGAATTAAAAGAAAAAACAATATAATTGGCTTCCTTCTTCTCCCTTCCCTTCTTCTTTTCTCTAAATTTTTTTTAATTAAATAGAGGATTTTTTTCACCTCCCTTCCCTTTCCTCAAACTAAATTTATTATAAAAGTGTAAGACATTTAGATAAGTATATAATAATAGAACAATTTAATGGTTCCATCAATATTATAACTATGGAAAATGATTGGTAATACTACGATTCAACATATCTTTTGACATTTGTCTGGTTCAATTATTAAATGTAATATAATTATCGTTGATTTAGGGTATGTTTGAGATTGTTTTGAAGTGTTGTGCCAGTAATTGTAGCTGTGATTAGCTATGGTTGTACTGTGTTGTGGTTGAAGTTATTTTGATGTTCAGTTATTTATTTTTTAAAAGTATTATAAATGAAATATGATAGATTTTATTGATTATTAATTAAAATTTAAAAAATATTGTAAGATATATAATTATTAAAATATATAATATTTATTATTTTTTAATAATTTGGGTTTT